CATGAAAATTAAAATCGAAACAATTTTATAAGCTTTTCAAGTTAGGAGAAATTTTAAACACCGCACCGCTGAGGCTGTGACGACGACGATACACTGTTGCCAATTAGGATGTTCAACTTAGGTGTGTGTTTGGTATTTACATTGTGAAAAGGTGACGATTTGATTCTTAAAAAAGTTGTTGGAAATAGTAGTTTATTATAACCTTTGTACCAATATCTCGTTAATTTATATGCTCTTGTTTTTAGGTTTATTTTACACACATATTTATACATTAAATCGATTCTTTTTAATTACTGAAGCTAATAATTAATAGGTATATAACACAATAACACAAATAAATGTTATGCGATTGTACTGAAATTTAAGATAATAAATGTTATTATTATTATTATTATTATTATTAGATATTATTATTATTAAATTATCGCCCAAGTACAGAAAAATGTTAAAAATAAATGAGGATTTGTAGATGTTCGAGGCAATAAAAAAACGCAGGAAAGATTAGTTTAATATCTCTAATGAATTTTTAATTATTATTATTTATTATTATTTAGCTAATTTTTCAATTATAATTGAACAATTAAAATTATATTATACTCTCAAAGAAAGGTAGAAAGGAAATGGGCGGTGACTATTAGACGCCTTCATTATAGCCATCTTTCTCTATCGCACGGATTTCTATGACTTACTTTATCGCTCTCACGTAACCGCCGATGAACCATGGGGACTTTCCGACCCTTTATAATTCCTCTGTGCGTGTGTATGTCACTGAACTCCTCCTAAACGACTGAACCGATTTTGATGAAATTTGTTGTGTGTGTTCAAGTAGATCGATAATGGTTTAGATTCACAATTCGATTCGATAGATGTTTTTTTTTAATTAATTTAACGTTTGAACAGGACAACGTTTGTCGGGTTCGCTAGTATAACATAAAATTTATAACAATTTGAATAAAATTGTTGCTATTTATGCTACCTCACCGAAAGTTAGATGCAATGGATAGCTGGCAATAAAATACAGTTTTTTTTAAAAAAAGTGCCCTCTACGACCAACAGGAGCCAAGATAAGAATTTTTTTTAAATCGTAGCGCAATTGTTTATAAATATTAAGACTTGAATTTTTCGCAAAATAAAGTTTACGACGTAAACTACGATTTCCCGTGAATTGCATTGAAAAATGTGGAAAATTAACGACTCACGAGCCCTTTAAAGAAAAGGTACCCGCTAAGTAAACTGTTCGGAGGCCGGCAGCGTGGTGGTGGGGGAAGCTCGCCCAAGCGAGTCGCGCACGCGAGAAAAGTGAAATCCAAATTTCAAATTGATGCGCGCTGTAAATTTTGCAATATGTCGGTTTCTATTCGTCGTAGAAACTTTTTTTTGTTAAACTGGGGTAGCTCGACTAAAAAATAACAACGGGCATATTTACGAATTCGTAGAATAGCCCTGAACCCCGGAAAAAATGCATCTTTTATACTTAAATTTTTTTAATTTACAAAAATGTCACAAAAATGATTGTTAAACGAAATATGAATTAAAATTTCAACTTCGGAATTATTTTACTATTATTAAATAAATAAATTTTTATCTTTCATTTTATTTTTTTTACATATTAAGGCAAAGTAAACTTGTTTTTTCAATATTTTGTTAGCTATTTAAATGTTATATTAAATCATCAAGAATGCCTTTTTTGCGTATCTTTCACTTTTTGGTCCATTTGTCCTCTTGTAAACTCAATCGGTATATTTCACTAGTAAGGAAAATCTTTTATGGCAAACAGTAACAAATTGTAATTACATAAACAGCGCAATTTGTGTGTGTGATTTGAAATGGCACTGGTTCAGAGCCAAATAGCCGGTCTTTGTCATGTTCTGCTTATGAATTCATTTGTTTAACTGAATTTTTTATTATGCCCGCATAAAGAAATAAGGAAAACACGGATTCTTAATTAAAATAGTATAGAAATAGAACACTAAGAGCTAAACTTTACAAGATACCACATGCCCGATAATTTATATTTTTTCTTTCTTGTCTGACAATGATTAATAAATACATCCATCTTAACAGTAATAGAAAAAGGTGATTATAGTTACTACTATGATCCGTATATTTTCATTTTATGTTTATTTTTTTTTAAATTTACTTTTTTCTTATGTACTACTATAACTCCGTACTTATTTATATTTATTGTTATTATTGTTCTCCTTTTAAATTTTTTTTGCTTTAATTTATTTTAACGCAATTTGTACACTTACATCTTCGTCTTCGAATATTTTATCGACATCAAAATGTGCTCCAGGAAAACATATTTTAATTATTAATTCTCCGTACTATTTATTCAGAATAACTGTTAACCTTTAAGTGGGGGTAAATTTTTTAAATTTAAAACACTAAAAAAGTTGCCACTAACAAATGTCGAATAAAATGCTTAGGGTGACTAGAAATAAATTCATTCTTCAAATTGATTATTTTAGAAATTATTTTAAAATATATATTCATCACGATTATTACTTATTTCAATATGGTTTCCTACACAAGTAAAAAATTCTTATTACGGTCCTGCTCAACGCATCCAAGAACACCCAAAACGATTGGATTACACTGAAAAAAACAAAGCATTCAGTTGTTTTGAATGCATTCATTTAATTAAAAAAATAAATAGTTTAACTACAAGTTTGTCTGTAATTAACAAATTAGATTTAATATAACCATTTACGATTTTTAAATATTTGTTAGGCGAATTAAAAGAATACATTTTTAATACAAATTTATATTCGTTTTTATTTAATAAATATTATTTTATATTGGCCTATCTAACGTTACAATTAAACTTTAAAGTAAAATTATTCCAAATGTATAATTTCTTAAATGTGTTGGTCATTGAAATTACATGTATATAAAATTTAAAGTCTGTTGTAAAGAGAATAGTAAGAGCTTTCAAAAGAAATATTACTCAACCCCCAATGTCATTTAAATATTTTGGGGTGATGCTTACCCTTGCTTGGGGGTGAAAGTGGCGAAGTCAAAAATACCAGCAAATCCCTCCTTTAGTCCCCCTTTAATCTAAAATCGACGGGTCTGAGCGTTTTTGTAATGGCTCTGTTTCGTTTTCATTTGGCCACCCTATATATGCTGCGACTTTGGATAAAACTAGGTTATCTCCACAAATCTACATTCAAATATCCAACAGGTAGGTAGGTACTTTTTCATTTATGAGCAATTTTAACTTTGTAGGCGAAATGGAATACCACAACCTGCGTACACTTTGTTATTATTTGACTTAGCCAAGATCTTTTCCTAAAGGGACAAGATAGGACACTAGAAACGACAAGTATAATCAGTAATTACTGTTATCGCTAGTAAGTTAATACAGTATCTTCCTATTCGTGTTTTTTAATCGACTATTTCTCCTTTTCTCCATATAGACGGTGGTACTTTTTATACTCGACTATGGTAGTGATAAATCACAGATAAATTTTAATCAAAGAACTGAGTCAAAAATAAAAAATAGAAGTCTCTTACTATCAGCCTAGCCTAGTCATTCATAGTGTTACTACCACTTATTATTTACGCAACATGCACAGTAACTTATTTCCCAATGAACCCTGAATTATTGTTTTAATAAAATAATATAAAGTGTCATGTCATGGTTAATCTTAGATGCGTATTTTTGGAGACCTTCGATTGTTACTTTCTTATTATTTTTTTGATATGAATTGAAATAGGAAATATAACAAAAAAATCATTCTCAACACACTTTCTCTCAGAAAATGAATATTATGAATGTATGTAGGAATAAGAGCTCTCAGTTTTGCACATCCTACGTTTAACAAAAAAAAATAAACTGTCTTTGAAACACTAGATAATGTAACTCCTATGATCTTACAAATGGAAGTGCATTGTCTTGCTGTTACAATATTTTTTATCGTGTTTTAAAATTATAAATCGAATGATATTGCAGTAACTTTTATCGTATCTACTGAATACGTGTTATCCTTGACCATTTGTTATTTGACCAAACAACCTATTTGGTATGATTATATATTGCGTGCATCTTACTGTATTAAACGTAAGTAACCTCTTTATTATTTGCTTAATCGACTCGACAAACATCAAATTTAATTACTTAATTAAATCTTATTCTCTACAATTACAAGACTTAAAATTTAGAACTTTCGTATTCTAGTAACAGTCCATTCCATGCAATATTTTGTAATACTAATAAGGTCATGTTCGATCTCATTCGCGATTAAAGTTTAAAATAAAATTATATTTATATTCAATTTTAAAACAAACATATTTGTTAAATTACCTCTTCTTACTTATTAAAATAGTCAGACAACTTTATTATCCAAGAATATATGTGAAGGTACTTTTGGAATACCCCTTCATAATTGCATTGACAGTAACACAAAGAACGAATAGGTACTACACATTAAAATTAGAATTTAGTTGTGCAAGCTATGACAATAAAACAATGCTCATATCACTTACGGTTTTACATGTCGCGCCATCTCCTCATAAGAAATTGAATTAAACTACAAGCAGTCCTCATCCTCTATCGTCGATTGAAATATTCCTCTATTATAAAGTAACATTAGTCAAGTTCGTAGTAAATAGATGTCGCATCCTGCTAATTTATAACAAAAATATTTAGGGACCTTAAATATATCAAATCAAATCAAACCGAAAACAAATTGAGATGTAGTACATATTTTTCTAAAACATGACTAAAAACTAGATCGATTGAATTATTTCACTGTATGTTTTCGTGCCACACAATTATTTTTTCAGGAAGAATGTCTGCTCCAGTCCAAGATTTTTGCCTCACGCTGCTGGTTTCTCTGTTTACCTTAGTGCTGGTTGCTTCAGCTTACGTCCGGTACTGTTACGGGTATTGGAAACGAAGAAATGTGCCCTATCTGGAACCAAAATTCCCCTTTGGAAACAGCACCTCCCTATTCCCGAAAGGCATCTCCATAGGAGCTGTTACCAGAAGCTTTTATGACAAGTTCAAGAGCATGGGGCATACCGTAGGGGGTAAGTTGTGCCCGAGGTACACAATCCAAACGACGACCCTACAGTTTCTTCGGTTTTGCATAATAAACTTTCTATTGAGTTTGATTTCAAAAAATCGACAAAATACCTGTACAAATTTCTCGGCAAATTAGAAAGATAAGTTTTAAGTCACTTATTATAAACCAACAGTTTTTATGAGACGAGGGTCTAAGGTCTCTAGAATCCTAGATATGCGCTGTTCAAGTGTAGGTGAGATATAAGATACAAAATATTTAAAAAATGTAAAGTTTGAACCAGGAAGAGACATATATTTTTTTACAAGATATTTAAAACTGTTTTATATAGGGGTGTACTTCGGCGTCGAACCAAAACTGGTGGTACTCGATCCAGATCTCATCAGGGATATCCTGATAAAGGATTTTCAAAATTTCACCGATAGAGGAGTGTACCAGAGCGAAAGCGACCCCATAAGCGTCAATATCTTTTCTCAGCCTGGTAAGGAGTGGAGGAACGTTAGGGTGAGTCTGAACTCAACTTTTCATTGCTTTAAAAACACATATTTCTCTTTACGTTTCCACAAGGGTGTTAAAAAAATAAATAAACTTTAAACAGATTTTTGGTATTACTTATCAAGTGACCCAAGAAGAAAAATGTTAATCAATTGTTTTGAAATTGAAATATACTATTAATCATCTGTTTCACTAGTTTTTTTTATTGCAAAATCAAATTGATAATTAGAAAAGAAAACATTTGGTCTATAAATAACAGTATTATGTTATAGTTATGTGAATAACGAAAACAAAGAAGAGAATTTGATTCATATACGAGGTGTTGCAGGATTGTTATTTGGACAGGTTTTTTCTGAATTATTTTTAAATTGCAGCTCGCGACGTTGTGAATGGGTGACTTGAAAAATTTTTGTCATTTACAACCCCACGTGAACACACTGTATAAAACAACGCCGCCAGTTTTTCGTTTGCCTCCACTTTTAACAAAATATGTATTTTGAAAATATATAATGTTTTTATAAAACAGGTCCGTCTTTTAAATTAGCAAATTTAATTATAACGTCTTCATAAAATTGAGGATCGGTACTAAGACTTTGCAATAGTTCTTTTCAACTGATAAGTTGATTAAGCGCTCTTGTGTGATCGTATTTCTAAGTCTGTTAATGTGTTTAGGACACAAAAAGTTTCTTTCTACGGATACACTTGTTGCAGGAATTATTATATCTGGTCAAAATAATTTGTATGTTTCCGAAAATACCACTTCAAATTCCTTGTATAATATTTCTATCAATTTTTGAACTTCTAAATTACGAAATTGTTCGTCTTTCAACTTAACTATTTCAAAATCGTTTAGGTACATTTGTAATAAACAATTTGTTTGCATATTCGGGAAATTTTGAGGAATCTATTAAAGCAAAAAAAATTAAATCATGCAAATTCCCAAAACGAGTAGGTAGGTACTTAATTAAAGGGAAATATACTTTTCGAAAATATTTTTAATTCGTCGTAACTTTTGGCCCGTTTTTATCCAGGTATAAACGGGACATAACGGTTAGAGTGTTAGAAGATAAAAATATATCCAGATGTTTTTTCTATTTTTTTTTATGACTGGAAATTTAATAAAATGGAACCATCACACTTAACTCAACGGTGTACCTACTGATTTCAGGTTAAGTTAACATCGGTGTTCACGTCTGCAAAGATGAAGGCGATGTTCCAAACGATATTGGACTGCCACGAAGGGTTAGAGGAGGCGTTGAAAGAGCTAGCGAGACAAAAGAGCGATGTTGACATACTAGAAGTGATAGGGTGCTTCACTACCGACGTCATTGGTAAATACATAAGTAGGGACTTATAATCGTGTAAACCAACAGATTTAAACATTTTACGGTTTGGAAGTGGTTCGATAACATTCAGAATAGATAATTGAAAATAAAAATATTCTAGTAATATTTGCAATACTTTTTAAAAATGACTATTATAGAGGATTTTTTGCCCTTACAAAATTTCGATATCGTTTATGGATTTCGAGTAAAATTCGCATATTTTACACATTAAATAATATAAAATCAGTTTAAGATAAATAGAACATTCTAGTACGAGGTGCCATATAACAGAGAAACAAATTCATAACAATAATTAAAAATTTCTGTGTCAACCTAGCTGTGATTTAATTTTAGCTTACTTTGTTTTTTATTGCAATTTATCGATCCCCGGACCTAAACCCATGTAATTATTTCATTTGGGGAGCGTTGAGGACCAGAGTTTAAAATAACTTTTCAGTAAATACAGAAAACGAATGTGGGAAAGAAGACAACATGAAATTAATGTTATGAGAGGTAATGCCCAATTATTGGATAATTTCTAATTTTCGAAGAACTAATATTTGCGTTTAAGAACTAGAAAGTAACTTTGTGCATTGACTGTAATATTATTTTAATGTGATTACAAATATCAGTTTATTTAAAATGTTAATGTTGACTTTCTTACATTATTAGTTGATATTGTTTATTTAAAATATTAGTGTTGAGTTTTATTTTATTGATTGATAATACTAATACCAAAAATGTGTAGTTATTTTTTTAATGTGACGTTTTTTCATTATTATTCCCCGCTTTGAGGCTGCAGTTATAAATTATTTTTTATAAATCGGAATTTTTGCCTATATTTAATGTGTAAAAAATGCGAATTTTACTCGAAATCCATAAACGATATCGAAATTTTGTAAGAGGCAAAAAATCTTCTAAATCATCGTCATTGGCATACACACAAAAAAGTTACGGGATAGCCAGTGGCGCACAGGCACTAGAAATAGAACATCCTGTATATGTATTCTCTCCAAATTCTATATTTACCTTGCCCTTGTATAAAAAAATAAGTGTACCTAATTTGAAGTTTCTAAGAAAAATATTTTTCAAATTATTTGAAAAAAATAGGTTACCTATTCTATATTTTATTCTATTTTTTTTCTATTTTATATTTTCATCCAAGGAACCTGTGGTCAAGCGTTGTCCATCCTTTTCAGGGACACCCTGTATAATATTTATAAAAAATTTGCTCTTATTTTACATTTTAATGGACAATAAATATCTACTTACAATTAGTGGAAAAAATCACAAATACTCACAAATACTCAAAGCTCTAGAAGAAACAATTACTTTGCATTCTATGCACTGATATTCTATCATTTTGTACCCACCACCTAAATAAAGTATGTAATTTTTGTTACACTTTCTACAATTCACGTTTTGATAGCACTTTTTTATAAGGATAAAGTTGAAATTTCACTTTGATTTTTTACAGTTTGTGACGTGATTGAAACCACAACAAAAGTCCAAATAAATCTTCAAGCTAACAATAAATAACATTCACAAAGGGAGTGTTATAAAACTTGTTGCTGTTAAAAATTGTTACTACACGTTATACTGGTTTTAATACAACTCAAAAGCAAAATCCTTCTAATTCTTCATTAGTCCAGGCGGTATCTGTTTTATAAAGGGTATACTTGGGTAAAACGCATATGACCGGAGATTTTTGCTTTAACGGCTTCTAAACAACATTAGAAATCATAATTTTTCTATGCAAATAAAAAAAAAGTGGGCTTATTTTGCAAAAAAATAGCAAAAAAATTCATTTTTTTCTTGGATTTCTCGTCGACAACTTAGCAACTATTCATTTTAGACAAAAATGGAAGAGGAAAAAAAGTTTTGTAATTAAATTTTGAACAAGATAGAGTTAGTTGCAATTCGAAAAAATAATTATTGTTATTGCAAAAATCGGAAAAATCATTTAAAAAATTGCAAAAAATGCTAGTTTATTTGTCAATTTTTTTCAGACACTTGAATAATACCTAGGATCTTCATACTTTTCCCAATTAAACTTCTTAGTGCATAGAATCATCACACCAAATTTCATCCAATTCGGTTAGATAATTTTTACATAATAATTAATTGTTTAATTTTTTTTTTAAAATTAAAAAATTTTCAAAATCAAATTTCTAAAAATCTAAAGCCTTTGAATACTTGAAAATTTCACCGCAAAAAGAGGAATTCTCAAGCTTTAAAATGGTTTATGAAAAATTCAATTCGGACGCTTAGGTGAGCCGTGGTGATTGTTTAAACATTTTCGCAATTTTCACGCTTATAAAAAATTGCAATAATTTAATATTTTTTTTATTTTTTTTTATTTTAAAATATGGTTTGAAAGTACTCGGAAAGACAAGTACTTTAAAAAAAAACCTGATGATCCGTCCATTATTTTCGGATTTATAGCCCTTATTTACAGCAAAACTATAAGGGTATAAGGGCTATTTTTTGAACTAATAGGTGTGTCATCCTGAGTACTTTCCAGATATAAATTTTCAAAATTTGCAATCAAGGACGTCCCATTTAAAATGTCACTCAAAGATATTCCAGACCGCGTGAAATCAGTGGTAGGGGGAGCAAACACACATCTACTCCGATCTGAATTTTCGAGTTCAAAACTGCGCCGCTCGGAAAAATTCCACTTATCTCAGCTTCTAATGGACCAATTTCGATGATTTTTTTTTTAAATCGATGTCTCGCTACTTAAAAAATTCAATTATCATATTTTCAACTACCTTTTATTATTAATTATTGGACTTTTGCTTGCAGATAAAAAGTTACTTTAAAAAATGATTAATTTATTATGTTCATTTATTTACTATATTAATATTCACGACCAAAATTTTTGCATGTTGCACCAGGTAATACTAGTAAGTTTGTTTAAATATTATAAAATTGTTTAAACAATAATTATTTAAATAAACAACTGAAAATTGGTATTAATTTTTAGTTGTACGATAAATTTCTAAA